TAACTCGTCTCATAGAGATACAGCCTACTACTGTAACTTGTCTGGTAGAGATACAGCCTACTACTGTAACTTGTCTGGTAGAGATACAGCCTACTACTGTAACTTGTCTGGTAGAGATACAGCCTACTACTGTAACTTGTCTGATAGAGATACAGCCTATTACTGTAACTCGTCTCATAGAGATACAGCCTACTACTGTAACTCGTCTCATAGAGATACAGCCTACTACTGTAACTCGTCTCATAGAGATACAGCCTACTACTGTAACTCGTCTCATAGAGATACAGCCTACTACTGTAACTCGTCTCATAGAGATACAGCCTACTACTGTAACTCGTCTCATAGAGATACAGCCTACTACTGTAACTCGTCTCATAGAGATACAGCCTACTACTGTAACTCGTCTCATAGAGATACAGCCTACTACTGTAACTTGTCTCATAGAGATACAGCCTATTTCCAAGTCTAGAGTGTACTGTAACTGTTTTTGAGAGACAAAACAATTAATCATTTTCTACCAAGTTAACAATTTCAGATATCTTACTTAATAGAGTTTGTAATGATATAAATACAAGTTTGTGAAAATATATATTTTATGTTAGAAGTGCAAACTTCTTTTTAATCTTTACCAAAAAAGTGGACATTATACAATAAATGCATTCTTAAGTAACTTTTAACTTGAATAAATTTACAATTTTTGAGGAATTGTCAGTTTCTGTTATTTAAAACTCCTAATGAAGTTTGTTAATTTATTGAGCATTATAACATCACAGAATGTGTAAGTTGTTTTTATCATTTGAACTGTTTAAGAATGTTGTTTTTTTTAGTAGGTGTAAGAGGTACTGATACTTAGTGTTGTATTTTACAACAGGCCCGATAGTGGATACTTATACATCACCATAATTTACAACATCAGTGTATCTCTGGCTCTCTATGGACTAGTGTTATTTTACTTCTCTACCAAGGAGCTATTATCTCCCTATAAACCAGTATGGAAATTTTGCACAGTTAAATCGGTCATATTTCTTTCATTTTGGCAAGGTAAGACTTGAGTTAATTCATGCATTATATAAAAAAAAAGTTGAAAGTAAGTTTGAAATAGGCCAACAGTGTATCACTTTTACTAAAGTCTGCTTTTTACTTTAATGGTCAAAAGTACTGATGTTCTTGTTAGTAAGGAATTTGGGTTTCCATATGTTGGTTTCATTTAAGGTTGAGTAATGAACTAGAATTTTTGTAGTTTATTCTAGAATGGACCACAGTTCATTATGACATCTGTGGCTCAACAGTTTCTGAAACCTATGTATATATGTACTGAAATAGTTTATTCTAAAATGGACCACAGTCCAGTATACCCTCACTAGCACAACGGTTTCTGAAACCTATATATATATGTACTAAAATAGTTTATTCTAAAATGGACCACAGTTCAGTATACCCTCACAAGCACAACGGTTTCTGAAACCTATATAAATACGTACTGAAATAGTTTATTCTAAAATGGACTGCAGTTCAGTATACCCTCACTAGCACAACGGTTTCTGAAACCTATATATATATGTACTGAAATAGTTTATTCTAAAATGGACCACAGTCCAGTATACCCTCACTAGCACAACGGTTTCTGAAACTATATAAATATGTACTGAAGTACTAGTAATCAGTTCATTGGTATTTGACTGATTAGCTGTAACTGACTTGCATGATTGTCAACTGATTTGATTGGTAGTTGACTGATTAGCTGTATTTGATATGATTGATAGCCAACTGATTAGCAGGAATGGATATGACTGGTTGTTGACTGATTAGCAGTAACTAGAACAACTGTTGTTGACTGGTGAACAATATTTGTAACAAATTGTAGTTGACGAGTTAAACTCTAAGAAAATTGTAAATACTTTCAAACTTCTATAAAACTATTGGTTTCACTAAATCAATTAAAGTTGTGGAAGATCAACTCTCTGTTTTATTTTAATTTAATAACATCTTTCAAAAAAGAAGAATGTGAATTATTTCAGTAATTACATTACTGTAGTCCTGTAGTTCTCATACCCTCCAGTGATAAGTATGAAGCCTGTGGTTGGCACACTTATACAGAAGGTTGAGTTAGTAGTTACATTATAAAACAGGGCTTGTACTGAATCATGTAAATGTAACATGTCATTACAGTACATTCAAGTGTATTTATTACTGTTTTCCTTCTCTTATTAATTCTAGGTGTAATCTTGGCAGTGCTGGAGAAAGCTGGGGTGATTTCCCCCATCTATTCTAACCAGGGTATATCCATGGCTAGTGTTGGAACTGTGTCTGCTGGATACCAAAACTTTCTTGTCTGTATTGAGATGTTTTTTGCCTCACTAGCCCTGCGCTATGCCTTCCCATATCACGTATATATGCAGAGCTATCAGCGAGAATCTCAGGGACGTTCTGTGACGATGCAGAGTATCTCCAGCAGCCTAAAAGTAAGTATGTTTGACATATTGTGTAAGAATGCTGGATGTTTTCAATGTCTTCTTTTAATGCTGGATGTTTGTTGAATCTTGCAGGAGACCATGAACCCAAAAGACATCATGAATGATGCTATCCACAACTTCCACCCACAATACCAACAGTACACCCAGTATACTGCCCCACCTCCAGCTTTGGGGCATCGTGGGGCTGTGCAAGGAATGAGGATTGCCAGTATGGAGGATGAAAATACTGAGAAAGGGTCTCATGGCCCTCACCACACAACCATAGTCCCAGGACGGCAGGCCACTCCAATGAACCAGGGCTACACCGAAAAAACAACGCTGTTGAGCTCAGATGATGAATTTCAGTAAAGACTAAGTTTGGAGGAAATATTGGTACTGTTATGTTGATACTCAAGAGCTTGTGTCAGAAACTGCTGTGGTTTCAGTTTTGTATATGTTATTTCCTTTTAATCTCATGAAAATGTTTAATTTGGATGTTGTAGCTAGTCAGCCTGTAAATTTTTATGTCAGAATTGAAGAATAAAATAGTGTTTGATCATATATCTACCAACTTTACTTAGCATATTGTAGCTTTGTATTATCTTTTATATTTCTTTGTCATTTAATGATTCACTGTGGACTTTGTTCCAAGTTGCAGAAATGATAAAAAAGTACTTATTAAAGGAATAAATAATGTTATTTTTTTCCCTGTCTTGGAAAAGCTTTTTCTTTCAGTGTTTTTTAAATCAAGCAGGTTTAAATAGCGAAAGAGATAGTAAGCCATAGTTATATAGAAATGTCAAGCATCAAAGAATTAACATGACTTGAAACAGTAAAGGCTGAAGGAGCATTACCTAAATTCATTAATATCAGAAAGATTAAGTTTTTATACCAGAAAGGCACATAAAGCCAATGCTTAACACTGGTTTCTTGTGGCACAAGCAGGGAATAATGATGACACATTCCTCCCAGATGGGACACCACACCATCATTGGTTAACTTACTGGTACCTATCATAACACTGAAACAATTGAGGTAAATTGTCTTGCTCAAAGACACAACAGCAAGTCTTAACCTTGAGGGCACGTTGCCCTCCCTCCACTTTGAGAAGGTCAGGTGATCATGGTTAAACCAATAACAGTAAAGTTATGTGGAATATATATATCCTAATAAACATAAACCTGGTTTTATTAACACAAAAGTAAAATTATCCAGTCAGTCTCACCTTTCTGTTATTGATGGTGAGTTACAATCTATTTGTTGGGTCCAAATTTAACTGTAGAGAATCGTATAAAAATTGTCCTCGTTTAGTTGGGGGGGGATAAATTCAAAGGATTGGAGGTTTACTTATAATAAGCATACAGACAAAAGTCATGATTTTTTTGTTTTAATAATCCCTGCTATATTAAGATTTGTTAACACAGCTAACTCCTGTATGTTGGGTTATTTGTGAGTTTTAAATGAGGTTAGCCTAACCAGTGTGGGCATTATTGTCATCAAACTACCCATCAACTTAAAGGCTTACTGGAAACATTATCTCTTACTTATTTGATGGAGAATCTTCTGTGGATGAAAAGTTCCTGTAAAACTCACTGCTCTGGCCAACAAACACAACTTGAAATATTTTAAACAAGTTGTATTTTAATACAGCAGTAGCTACTGTTCTAAATATAGTAGTTGTTCACATATGAAAAATTTGGCTTACTAATTTCAATTTATGACAGTCACTAATTTGGACTTTAGTTTTGAGAAGTTGTGCTACAATCTTTCAAATTTTATGTTGTTGTCAACTAAATTTAGAGGCTTAGGTGTGTCTTCCATGTTATACTAAAGTGGTCCCTTAAAGATGGAGAGATCTGATTGGCTACCTTTTTTTTTCTTTATAGTTAGTAGTACATGAAGTCGTTTATCTGTGGACTTCCATTAGGGTTTGTTCTTTTAATTTATTTGTTAAAAATAATACGAAAGCCAGTCCACTTAATGGTAATAAATTACTTCCTTAATGTACAGGATATTTCCACTTGTACACAGTTGTTCTTGTAGCCTCAAGTTCACAAATGATGTTTTCAACATTAGTACCACTAACATATAAATATACTTGTTTCTACAGTTTTATGGCTAACTGGTCAAGTACCAAATATACAGTATAACTAACACTGTTCTGAATGACTGGTACCACTTGAAAACAAACTCAATGCTTCACTGGTTCTTCTACTTATATATATGTATCCTTGTTTTTAGACACTTTACAAAGTCTTTTAGTTGTTAGTATTCACAAATTCTAAGGAATACTTTTATAAACGTACTTGATGTCACATGCTTTCTAGCTGACAGCTAAGTTAAAACACTGAAAATAGAGCTTATAACAACGTATACAATACATGTCACTTCTCCATTGGACATGTAGCCTAGCATTTAAACTTTAGAAACAGCACATTGGAAACTACATAGTGTCAGTGAAGGGAAAAACTAAGACAATACAGATATATGCATCTTAGAGAAGCCCGAACTATTTGAGCTTAGTGTTGCAGAGTAAGATAGAATAGCATGTTTGTTCCCCATGTAATGCATGATCTTAGTAAACTCTCCACACATGTTACTGCAGTCAACTTTCAGAAGATACCTATTTATTTGTTTTCTAAATAAGAGATCCAAACTGATTACACTCAATGTATTTATGACATTATTAGCTACTGTGTTTTCATTCTTTGTGATATTTTCTAGATTGGGTTCATGTACAGAGTTTTTTGTTAAAGATGATGGTACATTATATACTAGTGTGAAACTATGTAATTATGATGTGGATGATTTTTCTGTGGAACTTAATATATGTTTATCAGTTATTATTATTAAGATGATTTTACGTAAATATTTTATTGTATTCAACTTTCAGCACCAATTTCATCGTCTGTTTGATGATTACAAATTTAATGTGGTACTTAGAGCATTACATATTACTGTATGTAAACAAAAGTATTACTCGTAATGCAGAGTTGTTGGTTTTTCTGTTAATAATTGTGTTTCTACCTTCACTAGAGTTTAGTCGAATATCAAATGTTATTCTGTTGAAGTGCTGATTAGTTAATCAATGTGTCTGTATAGTTACACATTATCTTTCCATGCATCATTACTAGAATGTGTTATTATTCTTTGTTGCCAGTTTTCACATTATTTAGTATTCTTAATTAAATAAGAACATTTACTGTGTACTTTTAAAAACATTAGAGGATTACTTTATCGTTTTGGATTTTTGTAATTAGCCCCACATTTTAAGCACAATTGTGGGTGTAGCCATGTGTCAAAGTCTGTTATAATTTTATCTAACTTCATTTGACATAATCTGAGAAACTACGTTAAAAATGTATATACTGTTTGAATTCAAATGTAATGGCGTGGGAAGAAATAAAACTGTTGTGAGTGTTAAACTATGTGTGGAAACATTCTTATCATTATGTAAGATGATACAACACCTTAATCCATTATTACAGAGCCTTCCTTCTCTAGATAATGGTCAGTTTTAAGATTTCAACAGACTGTGGGATATTCATTGTAGTAAACCTAACCTTAAGAAACAAAACATTAGGCCTACCCATGATGAAATATACCATATTAAACCATACGAGCTAACATTACACCTATCCATAACATACCATAGTGAACCAAACCTAAAACAATAGCTACCATTAGGCTCATCCATGACAAGCTATACCATGGGAAACAACTTTAATAAGAAAACATAAAATACCAGCTGATATTATGCCCATCCCTGACAATATACACCAGTTGTTATCCATAGTATCTTTGTAGCCATTTAAGAGTAATGCATACAATAAATAGTTTTTTAAATGACACATACATTGGTATCATGATAACTAGAACACTTTCAGAACTCAGAATAAGAAAGGATAAGTGTCAATTTTGTGAGTAATTAGATATGAATTTCCATCATTTAAATAAATAAAAAGGGTTATTTGTAATATGTTTTGTGAATGACAAGACATTAAGTTGCAACATTTAGTTAGATAAATCAAGGTAATAAGTAAATTAAGGTTATTTATAACGTTTTTAGAATGATTTAACATGAAGTTTCTTGTTCTCTATTGTAGGAACTTGAGGTCTTCCTTCTTGTCCTGTTGATGAATGCAACATTCATTCCAGCCAGTTTGCCATTAAGATCTGGTATACATAGTAATCTTTGGATGATAGTCGATCAACGGTTTAAGGTTTACCTCCTTGTACACATTCTGCATGGAATTCAACTAGATTTTCGTTTTAGCTCTACACCTAGTCCAATTGTTCATCCAGTGTGTATTTCAAATCCTTTACACCATCCAGACCACTAAAACTTCATCATGCTTGGCTCAGATTTCCTGCACTGATATATTCTGTTGGTTCAGCTGCATTTATCTAATTAATATGGTGTTGGTTAGGTAGCATTTGACACATTATATTATTGCTATATATTAAACCACATAAAGTTTTACACAGCAGTGATCACTAGTGTGTCCTGATAGTGCATTGACATTCACACAATGATCACTAGTGTCCTGATAGTGCACTGACATTCACACAATGATCACTAGTGTGTCCTGATAGTGCACTGACATTCACACAATGATCACTAGTGTGTCCTGATAGTGCATTGACATTCACACAATGATCACTAGTGTGTCCTGATAGTACATTGACATTCACTCTTCTGTCCACATGCTGGGTTTTTAGATAGCATAATTTGTTTTAAAATGTTCATAAATAAATAAATAGTCACTGAAATCACTCAAATCAAGCAACTGCCACATCTGTCACTGTTCCAAGGATGAATATTAAGGTCATCAATTAACTCCACATCCACCACTGTTCCAAGGATGAATATTAAGGCCATCAATGAACTCCACATCTGCCACTGTTCCAAGGATGAATATTAAGGTCATCAATGAACTCCACATCTGCCACTGTTCCAAGGATGAATATTAAGGTCATCAATGAACTCCACATCTGCCACTGTTCCAAGGATGAATATTAAGGTCATCAATGAACTCCACATCCACCACTGTTCCAAGGATGAATATTAAGGCCATCAATGAACTCTACATCCACCACTGTTTCAAGGATGAATATTAAGGCCATCAATGAACTCCACATCTGCCACTGTTCCAAGGATGAATATTAAGGTCATCAATGAACTCCACATCCACCACTGTTCCAAGGATGAATATTAAGGCTATCAATGAACTCCACATCCACCACTGTTCCAAGGATGAATATTAAGGC